TTATTATAAAATTAAATTTTTAAAACTTGCATATATTGTATTTCAAAATTTTTATTTATAGAAATATTTAAAAAAATATATATTATTAAATTTATTTATAAATTTTAATATAATAATAATTAATTAATTTTATTTTTTTTTTAATTCCACAATTAGGTTGGTGTCATTTATTTATTAAATTATAAAGAACTATTACACACATAAGAATACATGCAAAATACAAATTTCCCTGATCCAACTTACCCATCTTTAGCCAAAGCCTCTAAATGTAATTTATGGAGGTGATATATTGTTTCCCTAAAGAATGGGATTGAGATCCCAAATTTCTGATAGGATCAGCACCTGCAGATCACCTCTACAGTCATGACCATAAATCCAAATTGTTTCATCCCCTCTTATAAAAACTATGCAAGGGGAAAAAGGAATAAAAAAGGGAATTTTTTGACAAAGAAAAAAGAAAAAAAAAAGCTATCATCTATTCTAACTATCATTGAAAAGATTATCTCAGTAAACTTAAAACCCAAGTTTCTCATAAATTCTCACTTCTCATTATCTGTAGTCAGTTAAATTATTTAATTTCCAATGGAGTAGTCAATATCCAAAAATGTTTAAGGGCACTTTCAAGAGAGTATTTTTTAAAACTTTATATTTGAAAACTTCTAACCAAAAAGAATATTGATTTTCTATTGTTGATTTCTCTTCCAAGCCATGTCTTCTGGAATTATAGCTTCACTCAACCAGTAGATAGTTTCAAGATCTCTTTCTCTAATCATTTCCGGGATAGATATCGATACTTCAACTTGTTACCAGATTGGAATAAGACCTAGACCTTGTTGCTACTTTCTGTTCTCAAGAAAGAATAGGGAAGAAAATAAAGAAAATAAAAGGATGGAAACAAAAAAGGGTTGCTTCTCTTCTTCTTACAACTTCAACTTAAAACTGTCCAACTCTTTTAAGAACCAATTACATCATCAGTTTGATATTGTGCGACTGGGAACACGTGAAAAATACATGTCTTGTTTACTTTTTCTGTAGTTGACGTGATCAACCAATCCATGATCTTGACCAATCATCTTTCAAGAAATTCGATGTTACTAAAAAATTCAAAATCAAACTGAGATAGGCAAAATTTTCCAGAAAAACCAGAAAAAAGGAAGCATGCTTGAGAAAAAAGAAGTGGGAAGCCAAAGAGATAATGAAAAGACTGAAGACTTCTTTATTCTTGTTTTTTTAGATTTTTGAATCTTTTGAGAGTCTTTGAAGAGTATTTTTTCTTGTCAGTTTTCTTCTTATAAAGGTGTTCTTACTGTAGATCTTTTAGATGGATTTATTGTATTTAGTTACAAAAATAAACAAGAAAAGTGTTTTGAAAAGGAAAAATAAAACAAGTGGTAACTTCTGCTCGCTTGGCTGGTTAAAACCAATATTGTTTTTAAGGAAAATGTATAGACTTTATTATTATAAAAACAAAAAATTTTTTGAGAACATCTGTTTTTGGATTGGCAAAAGGATTAGTGGAAAGAGCCAATATAGTATCTAATCTTTTTATAATGATGAAGTTACTTTCTTCCTATAGAAGAAGATATGGAATTGTTTTATTACCAGATATTTTTATGGCCACCTTTGATATGCCTGGTAGTTAGGCAACTAATACTTATCAGAATAATCATATCAGTCCCACTTCTAAAGTATTAGTACTACTATAAGATTTGACCCCATAATTTTTCTTAACACCATGGATCTTCTATGGGAGACAATTCCTTGTATTTTTATGATAGATCTAAATCCAGGTTGTCACTAATCAGGAACTATTTAACAATGAGTTTCTTGTCTATATTTTATACTGATCCTTATAGATAACAGTGTTATGGTAGTTCAACAACTGACGCTTATCACAACGACCCCTATGAATTGATCCAACAGGCATGTACTGCCATTATCTGGTATTGAACTTACAATCTTCTTACAGAGGTACTAGTCCTTATACTAGTACGCTAAGTTCCTATAAGAACATAATTAAGAAATTTTATATTTTAATAAATACAGTATAATATGTATATATAATTATTAACTTAATTATAAAAAAAAAATTCTTTCACTTTTTTTTTTTATATTTAAAAATTTTTTCTTTAAGTTGTTTACTTTTTTTATTTTTAGTTTTATATTTTATATTTTATATTTTTTACTTTTTACAGAAAATGGACAAAAGTTTATAGACAACTTTTTTTTTTTTAAATAAAATTTAATTTAAAAGCCAATTAAACTTTATTAATAAAAAATATACTTAATACATATATATAACGTATTCAATTTTTAAAAATGTATCATTATATAAAAAAATTTTTTTTTATTTACTTGAAAATTTCATTTCAATTTTTGTGTAACCGCTAATACCTGCTAATAAAAAATTAACTTCTGAACAAAAAGCGGCCATTATTTATGATTACAAAAAAAAAGATACCTATCATAATATCGCAGCCAATGTCGGATGCAAAAAAAGTGTAGTGGATAATGTTATAAAGTGTTTTATTGAAATTAAATCCATAAAGTTGTAAACACAATGATTGGAATAACCATGACTTCTCAATAAGCATGCTCATACCACTCTAAAAAACTTGTTACCAACAAAAAAAGTAATAGACATGTTACTGCTGCAAAACTAATCAATCTTTTTATAACCAAAACAGGAATCTGAGTATCCAAAAAAACCATCTGTCAAATTCTGTATGAAGAATAGTTAAGAAGCTGTATTACCTATCCCAAGCCCTTTCTTTTGGAAAAAATATTGAAGACCGACTTACCTGATACTTTGTACATAAAAACTGGATCATTCTGAACTTTAAAAAAGTAGTCTAAAGTGATGAGTCTACGTTTACTCAATTTCAATAAGGAAATAAATGTTGTGTTTGGTGTAATTCATGTAAAGAGTGGAATGCTAAATGTCTTTCTATCACCATTAACCATAGCCCAAGCCATATGCATTGAAGTGTTTTTCATAATTTGGTATTGGCCCTCTTGTTTCTCTTTGCATATTAAAGGTAAGATAAAATGTTTATTAAATAATAAAAAAAAATTTTTTTTGATTTACTGTAAAAAAAAAAATTTTGACTTATCTTTTTTCTCTTATAGCAAAGTCATATATCACAACTTTCCAAAATTATCTTTTGTCAACTCTTTGAAATTTTGATGGAACCAATTGAAATTATAGTGACACTCTTAGTTTCAACATGATAATGCAAGGCCACATGTCGCAAAAATTATGAAGAAGTTTCTTGCTGATAAAAATATTCAAGTTATGGACTGGTCTTCTCGAAGTTCAGATCTTAATCCGATTGAAAACCTCTGGTATTATATTAAAGTTCAAATTCATGAGACCAAATCTAATAATTTAATAGAGCTCGAGGATTGTGTTTTAAATATTGAAACAAGATCAATCTGGCATACTGCAAAAAATTGATTAAGAGTATGCCACATTGTACTACGACTTGTATCGCAGCTAAAAGGGAGCTACAAAATATTAAAAAAAATATAAATTAGTTAAGTAGATATCTATAAATTAATAGAACATAAATTAATAATAAAAAAATGTATAATTAGATATTTAAAAATTTTTAATTTTAATTTTTTTCTTTTTTACATATTATATCTGTTAAATAAAAAATTTGAAAAAATTTTTAAAATTTTTTTTCTCAAAAACTATTATATAATTTTTTTTTGAAATTTTTTTATTTAAAAGTTTAATTTTTAAAGATTTTAAATATATTTTTTATTTAATTAATTTTTTATTAATTTAATTTAATTTTTAATTTTTAAAGTTGTTCATAAACTTTTGTCTACCCATTGTATTTTTTCTTTTCTTTTTTTACTCTATTTTTTTTGTAAACTTTATATATATATATATATATATATATTATATATTTTTTTATCAGAATTAGATTTTTCTTTTTTTTAAAGTTTTTTTTTTTATCTTTTTTATTAGAATTAGATTTCTTTTTCTTTTAAGAATTTTTTTTTTCTAAATCTTTTTTTTTTTAAAAAAATTATATTCTCTATTTTATTATTTTTTTAATTACTTAACTTTTTTTTTTCACTATATTAAGAAGTAACAATTTTTTATAAAAAAAAAAGTTTTTTTTTTATAGTTTTTTTAAAAAATTAATATAGCTATTATTATCAAATTTAATATTGTTATTTTATTGATAATTAAATTAGATATATGTATCTATTTAAAAAGTTATTATGTAATTATTATTATTTAAATCTTCAAGAAATTATATTTTATAACTAATTAATACTATAAATAATTAATATTAATATAATATTTTTGCAAGTATTATGTTAGTAATTGAAATATATCTAATAAGATAATATATGATAATCAAAAATTATAGTTAACTTTATATATAATTTATTATTATAAGCAAAAATAAAATTTATTTATTTATTTAATTTATTTTTTGTTAATATAATAACCTTTTTTTTTTTTTCTTTAAAAATTTTTTTTCAATCTTTTTTTTATTAAATTATTTTATTAAATTTTTAAAATATTAAATTTTATCTTATTAGAATATATAAATTTATATAAAATATTATTTAAGAAAGATTATAAAAAAATCAAAAATAAATAAAATAATAATAATAAATATTATAATTTTTATAATATTAAAAAATAATTTATAAATAATAATTCTTATAAAATACCTATTTAAATTTTAATTTATACAATAAATAAAATTATTAATGCTTTTTTTTATTGTATTGATTTATTATAATTAATAAATGTAGGCTTATAAAATAATGTAAGTATATAAAGTTAAACAAGGCAAATGCCTACTTGAAAAAATTAATACTTCCAATATACTATTCTATATATTAAATACAGTACTTAGGTATTTCAAATTATATTGGCAAATGACAAAATTTTTTAATCATGTGGAACAGGATTGATTATTTGCTTAAAAGGAAATATAAGTATGTTCTTGGATCGCTTTTAACTTGACATGAAAAACAAGTCTAAACAGAAACGAAAACAACGAAAGGCCAACTCTATTGCTTTTACAAAAAACGTTTCTGCCTTAGATTTACAAAACAAACATGATGATTCAACAGCACACGTTAGCTCACTACTCGATCAACTTCGACACGAGACTCGATCTAAAAGCAAAATCTCCACAGGGATTTTTCCTCTGCTACCACTGCCATCGTGCAATTACTTGATGAACGAATTAGCAACACTCGAGCAAAATACGCAAGGGGAGTTTGAAATGGAAAGACAACACGTACCAGGTCCAGCACCACCTAAAAGTTGGCAAAGATCTCGGTATTCAGAAGCAGGTAGGAATACTGCGGGTATAGTTTTTCCTAAGGAAATTAAAGAGCGTAAAATAAAAAAAGGAGCGTGGGATGGAGAGAGAAATCTCCCAGGTTTAGTCATCATTCCATATTCATCATATATGGATACGATATTCAGGTGAATTTATTATATAAGAATACATTTAACTGACCTCATTATAACATAATAGGTAGTCCAAACCGTCAAGTTCCATCACTCATGTCAATTTGTATAGATACAGTAGCTACAAACATTAAATCATACGCATCATATCGATATTTTTCAAATCTTCCTACACACCTTAAACAACACATACTTTCTTCTATGAGCATACACAATTCCCTCACTGATGAGTTGCTTCCCTTGTTTGCAAACGACTCTGGATATGAAGAATTAGATATATCTTATAGCAATGTCACCTTAGAATGCTTAAAAAAGTATTTCTGGAAAATCGTCAAGGAAAAAGATGCAAAGAATGGAGTTGTGGAAGATTGGGAAAATCTTATTGACCATGATGATGATAAGGTCGTGGACATTCTCCCTATTCAGCGTTTCAAAGCTTCAAGTGATAATACAATAAATATTGCGAGCAACCCATTAACAGATATTGAAGAAACATCGAAAAAATATATTTCAGCTTTACCAAATCTTCGTCGATTCAACTGCGGGTTCACCTTCAATATCTCCGCAATACCTTTGTGCACTTTACTAGTGTCAACGATGCCTTTATTAACACATTTATCCATGGCTGGATGTTTTGATCAAGACATTGGCTCACAGGCACTACGAATACTTTCCGGTCTATTTAACCTTTTAGTCTGGGATATGTCCTATTGCAAATGGGTGAACGATCGAACATTATTACAATCAATCAATTGGAACAGGGATCTGAAGTCATTGAGGAAATTAGTTGCCATCGAATGCGGCAATTGGATTGATTTAGAGGAAACTAAACGGAAGCTGTCCTATAATCGTAGAAAGTTTAAACTTTTGACCGAGGTCGGATCAAATGCGTAATAAGAAAATTTTTTTATACTTTGTATTGATCCTGTAAAACTTTAAAGATAGTAATTTTATAGCAATGGTGTTTTATTGATTGATTTATAACAAAATATTAAATAAATTTTATTTAATTAAATATATAATTTTTATTATAATAAAAAACTTTATAAAATGTATTTTTTACTATACATAATTTAAAATACTGGTATTATTATTACTATTTAAAATCGTTTGATAATATTTTATTATTTTTTATTTTTTTAAATTTATTTTTTTAATAATAAATATAAAAGCTTATTAAATATTTATATAATGTTATAGTTCAATAATTAATTAATCGAATTATATAAAACTTTATAAATAAGTTCTTTGATATCTTAAAAATAAATTTGTTATAAGTCACATATAAATATAATAATAGTATTTTTTTAATTTTTATTTTTAATACACTAACAGTTGAAAAAATTAATTCACAATTTTTTTATATATGTTTTATAATAAAAAACTGTTTGGAAAATAATTAAAAATTTTTAACTCTATTTAAATTTAAAATATTTTTATAATAAAAATATATTTAAAATTAAAAAAAAAAATTTTTTTATATTCTTAAATACTATAAAATATCTTTCTATAAAATTATTTTATTAATTAATTTAATAAAATTAATAATAATAAATTTTTAAAAATTACAGTAGAAAAATATTTTTTTTGTTACTTTTTTAAAAAAAACATTAATTTTATATTTAAAAATTAATATTAAAATTAATAAAAAATTATATGGTTTTTTTTATTTTTATCTTAAAAACATATTTACAAAATTTTATAACATTTAAATAATTCTATATTGATTTATTAATAAAAATATAAGTTTAAAAAATTCTGTTTTTTTTGTATTATATTATAACAAGATTTTTTTTTAAAAAATAAATATTAAAGTTTAAAAATTTATAAAATATTTTTTATTTTATATTAGTAACTATTTTTTTTTCTGATAGGTAAACACTATTTCTTTTTTTTTTTAATTCCGCAATCAGGTTGGTGTCATTTATTTATTAAATCATAAAGAACTATTACATGCATGAGAATACATGCAAAGTACAAATTTCCCCAACCCAACTTATCCATCTTTAGCCAAAGCCTCTAGATACAATTTATGGGGGTGATGTATTGTTCCCCTAAAGAATGGGATTAAGATCCCAAGTTTTCAATAGGATCAACACCTGCAGATTACCTTCACAATCACGACTATAAATCCAAATTGTGTCACCCCCTCTTGTAGAAACTACGCAAGGGGAAAAAGGAATAAAAAAGGAATTTTTTGACAAAGAGAAAAGAAAAAAAAACTATTATCTATTCTAACTATCATTGAAAAAATTATCTCAGTGAACTTAAAATCCAAGCCCCTCATGGATTTCCACTTTACACCACCTGTGACTAGTTAGATTGTTTAATTTTCAATGGAGTAGTTGATGTTCAAAAACATTTAAAGGTACTTCCAGGAGAGTATTTCTTGAAACTTTATGCTTAAAGACTTCTAACTAGAAAGGATGTTGGTTTTTTATTGTTGATTCTCTCTCAAGTCATGTCTTCTGGAATTATAGCTTCACTTAACCAGTGGATAGTTTCAAAATCCCTTTCTCCAATTATTTCCAGGATAAATATCGGTACTTCAGCTTGTTATCAGATTGGGATAGGACCTAGATTTTGTTGCTACTTTCTGTTCTCAAGAAAAAATAGGAAAGAAAAAAAAGAAAATAAAAGAATAGAAACAAAAAGAGGTCACTTCTCTTCTTCTTATAACTTCAACTTGAAACTGTCCAACTCTTTCAGGAACCAATTACATCATTGGTTTGATGTTGCACGACTGGAAACATATGAGGAGTACGTGTCTTGTTTACTTTTTCTGTGGCTAACGTGATCAACCAATCCGTGACCTTGATCAATCATCTTTCAGAAAATCCGGTGTGATCAAAAAATTCAGGGTCAAACCGAGGTAGGCAAAATTCCCCAGAAAAACCAGAAAAAAGGAAGCATGCTTGAGAAAAAAGAAGTGGAAAACCAAAGAGATGATGGAAATACTAAAAACTTCTTTATTCTTGTTTCTCTAGATTCTTGAATCTTTTGGGAGTCTTTGGAGAGTATTTTTTCTTGTCAGTTTTTTTCCTATAAAGGTGTTCTTGCCGTAGACCTTTTAGGTGGGTTTTTTGTATTTAGTCACAAAAATAAACAAGAAAAGTGTTTTGAAAAAGAAAAGTAAAACAAGTGGTAGCTTCTGCTCGCTTGGCTGGTTAAAACTGGTATTGTTTTTAGGGAAAGTGTATAGACTTTATTATCATAAAGACAAAAATCTTTTGAGAATGTCTGTTTTTTGGATTAGCAAAAGGATCAGCAGAAAGAGTCTCTAGAAATGCCTCACTTAATATTAAAAAAAAACAATAAATTAATACATGTACTTTATTATTTATCTTCAATAAATCTTTGATTTCAGCTAAATATATTTATTTATTCTCTTCAATTATAAAATTACAAAGATTAGAATTGCTGTTACTTAATGTATTTAAAGGTTGAAATAATAAAATAATATTTATACTTACTTCTTTAAGCTTAAGTGTCCTAATTAACATATTATAAATAGAATTCTATTATGTTTTGACATCCAATATAATTATTTTTCCAGCAATTTCTGCAACTTTATATTGTGCAATAAATTTTTCACAATATTGTAATAGGATCATATTTTAAAAATAAGTTTACAAAGCTACAAATTACAATTAAATTATTAATACAATGAACCTTTTCTAAATACATACCTCTTGAAATTATAGGAAAATTTTTGAAAAATATACATTTATAGAAGATATGCATTTATAAAGAGCATTATTTATAGAGAGTGTGCATTTATGGAAATAATTTTATTAAGAGTTCTATATTTTTGGAACCATGCTTGACCATGCATTTAGAGAGAAAAAATATAATAAGTATATTTACAGAGTGTATATTTAGAGAGATCTCTCTGTATATATAATTTAATTATTAATATTTAAATAAAACTTATTTTATATAAAAGTTCTAATATTACTTCATTCGGTTCAATATTATTTTCTAATTTAATATTATTTTCAATATTTAATACTTGCAATATTTTTTGTATAATAAGATTAATTATATAAGCAAGACATTGGACATGTTAATTAATTGCATTAAATTCAATATTGTTTTTAATAAATATATTCTTAAAAGCTCTAAAAAAAGTTATATTGTTGCTTATATTATCAGTTGTTATATCTAAAACCTGCAATATATAATTTTTAATTTAATATAATTTTTATAACATTTTTATATTTAATATCAAATATAACTTACTTTTTTTGTAAGATCAAATTTATTTAAACTTTATAAAAAGCTATTTTGAAAAAACTCTTTCCCACTCCCCTTTCTACGCTTGAAAATTTCCTTTTTAGGAAATTTTTAAGTTATTTACTTTTTCTTTGTCTTCTCCTTTCCCTTTTCTCTATGCTTCTTCCCTATACCTCTTTATTTTTCTTCTTTTATCTTCTCCCCTCTCTTCTATATACTCTTTTTTTTTACTTTTACCACTTCCTTCCTTTTTTCCACTTTTTTTCCTGCCAAAGCTAGGTTTTTCCCTTTTCTCTAAAGGTTTTCCTCTCTAAGCCTCTCTTTCTTTTGAAAACTCTGTTTCCATAACATCACTCCTCTGGCCAGTTGACTTCCTTTTCTCAAGGACCATATCAAGAAGCGGTAACCTTTCTTAAAATGTGGGCTTTAGGAATTTTTCTCTCTTCCATGGCTCCTCAGAAAAAGGACAGATGGCTTACTTCCTCCAAAAGATCGATATGGTCATCATTACCAAACCTGGTATTGTTTACCAATTGGTGTTTAAACTAGATACATCCAAGAAACCTCTGTACAACTATTATTATCTGAAAGTACCCAAGGAGTTGTGCTCCACAGTATCCAGAGTGAAATGGCAGCCAATGCCAATGCAATTAGCATTAAGCTATATTAGTTGCAGGTGTTATGCTGATGATTGGGAAACTTAGTAGAATAATACGTAATGACCAGGGATTCTAGTTACCTCTGCAACATGAGCTGGTGATGACAACAGAAGTTTCTCGCTCACCCCTCCAACAATGTAGGTTTATTGTACAAGGTTAGGTTCCGGCATCATTAAAAAAACCAATAAGAACTCCACCTATAAGACACTTCCGCCATACTTAAAGTATGGGTATGCCAAATCCTTTTTATGACTTAAAGGCAAACCTGTATAAAGTGGCTGCAGTGCCTTCATGCAAAAAGATACTCATCTTCTACCACCTCCAACACTACTCTGCTTGCCATACATCAAGCCATATTTGGAAAGCAGGCATGTCAATCCTAATTATAACTTGGAGGCCAACCTGTATAGATTGGCTACAGCACTTTTATGTGATTAGGTATTCATTTAATTCCAGGTAGCTGGATACTATTCATAATTTGATATAGATTTTTGAATTTCTTTTTGTTTATATTCCTTGGATAATGCTAAAAGAGCACAGGAGTCTGGCCCCATATGGAAGCCTTGCATTAAACTCTTTCTAGCAAAGAGAGACGTATGTCATGCTATTGATTATTGTATCTTACTCTATAAGTAAGTAAAAGTATAATAAATATAATAAAGTGTGATAGCTATTTGCTCTTTTCAAAAATATATATACTGTATATATATATATATATATTTAAATTAATAAATGAAGACAAACTAGCAAATGAATTTCAAATTAATATAACACAAAATTTAAAGTTACTTATATTATTATATTACAAACTATTAAAATTAAATAGTTTAAAAACATATCTAATCATTTATATTTTATTAAAAATAGTAACAAATTAAAATACTAAGAAATTATAAAACAATTAATAACTAATAAAACCAATGAATTTTTTTTTTTTTTTTAGTAGGTAAATATCATTTCTTTATTTGATTTGTATATTAAAAGTATACATCGTGAAAG